CCGTAAGCCTTGGCGTCTCCTTCTATCCCTTCATTCTGTTTCTTTTATGTATTTCAGAAACAACTTTGTATTTATCTTTCGGACCCTTATTTGTAGTATTCTTAGATAGTCTGTAAAATTGTGACACCAATTCTGGGTAGTCTATGTTTAAGGAATTGTATTGGTATTATTTTAATGGTTATAATTTGTTCTTCCGCTTATTCAATTCTGCTGATTATATCATGTTGATTCATAACTGTTAAAGGATTAAAAATGAGAAAAAGGTAAAATAATGCAAATGGTTGGCTTGCCTAGCTTTCACTAGTATGCGCCATCACGATTCCCGAGGGTGGAAAATCCGGGTCGTGATAGAATCTTATGTCCCCATCTAGACATGGTATTTTATTTCGCATTTTATAGTAGTTAAAAGATAGGTTAGAAATTAGAATGTCCGATTTTGATTAGATTCATGTCATAAATCAGGCAGTCACACAATGGAACAAAATTAATACGAAGAATATTGACAAAATAAAATAAGTAATGACTAATGAGTTAGAAATTTAACTTAGCTGATCTGCTCAGTAATGCTACACCTCCCTCTGTCACGACCCGAATTTCTCACTGTCGGGACCGTGATGGCACCTAACATTGTACTCGCTAGGCAAGCCAACGATACAGAATATCTCACCTTTTTCTTTTACCTTTTTAATAATTAAAACTTAACAAAAATAAATTAACAGAATTAAATGCGGAAGAACACAGTTTAAAAGATTATCTTTGTACTAACAACGAGAAACGTAATAAATTCCACCTAGAACTGGTGTCACAACTCACGAACAGTCTACGAATACTATAAATAATTGTCTGAAGAAAAAATTTACGTCTGTCTCGGAAGTAGTGAAAACAGAAATGAAATAGGATAGAAAGGGACGCTAGGGCCTGCGGACGCCTGCAGGACTACCTTGGTCTCCGGGAAGCAGTGATAGCAACCAACCTCACGATCAGCCACTAGCTCCAAAATCTACACAGAAAGTGCAGAGTGCAGTATCAGTACAACCGACCCCATGTACTGGTAAGTGCCGAGCCTAACCTCGACGAAGTAGTGACGAGGCTACGGCGGGGCATACAACATATACAACCTGCAACAGTTTATTCTAAACAGAAAGAAATACAGAATATAATAAAGCAATAATTGGCATTACATAAACCCGGAACCCAGATGTTCTTCTAGTATTCAGCTATAACCAATCCTTAAGGGTGTTTCAAAATCACATTAATGGTCTTTAACGGAAATGAAAACATAATAACAACTGCTGCGGCGCGCATCCCGATCCCAAAAAATAAACAACAACAGTATCAATATTCACCCTTATTCCTCCTTGTTGCGGCGTGCAACCCGATCCCACATGTCCACCCTTATTACTCCTCAACACATATCACCCTTATTCCTCCTGTTGCAGCGCGCAACTCGATCCCACCTGTCCACCCTTATTACTCCTTGTTGCGGCGTGCAACCCGATCCTACCAGACAATCATATTTTACCCTTATTCCTTCTGTTGAGCCGTGCAACCCGATCCCAATATATATATATCAGCACCAAACACAAAAGAATAAAGACAAGTGTTTCACAAGCTAACTCAAATCCCCCACATTACTTATACCTCAATCCACATAATGGAATATCACTATGATTATGAAACTTCACCAGTGAAAACTACTCATCGAGACCAACCAAGGTGCACCATAAGGCACCAATAAATCAATATAAGCCAACAGGGTAATAAAATGAAGCTACAAAACAAATAATACTTCAACGGAACATCAACAGTTAACATGAACCCATTAAGTAATTCAGTAAAGAGAACAACAGTTAATAAGAAGCAATTAGACATGAAAACATTTATGAGCAAGTAGCAATTAAAGCAGGAAAACAAGATATAGGGGAACGGGGAAAGGAAACAGGCTAAACAAGTAATTTGGCGACGTATAGGTACTCGTCACCACACCTATACGCCACACACATGATATCTCACATAGCAAGCAAGTCGGGATCCATAATCCCTCAAGTCAAGGTTAGACCAAACACTTACCTCAAACCAACGGGTATTTCAAAGCTCAATCACCGCTTTACCTCTCGATTGCACCACCAATTCACTCGTATCTAACCATAATTAGCTTAATAATATCAAACGCTAAATAAACCAATTTCAATACACAATTATAGATTTACCAATATTTTCCCCAAAAAGTCAAAAATTAACCCCGGGCCCGCTTGGTAAAAACTTGAAGTCCGGACCAAAACCCGATTACCCATTTACACTCGAGCACGGATATACAATTGGTTTCGGAATCCGACCTCAAATTGAGGTCCAAATCCCCCACATTCGAAATTCCTAATTTCTACCCAAGAACACCCAATTTCCCATGAAAACCCCTAGATTTTGAGATGAAATCATGTAAAACGATGAAATACATTAAAGACAATGAGTTAGAAATCACTTACCTATGATTTGGAGAAGTTTGGGTCTTTGAAAAATCGCCTAGGGATGTTTAGGGTTCGAAATTTTGAGAAGTGAAGTGAAAATCCCGTCAGAACTTGTTTTTGAACAGTTGCAGATGTCGCAATTGCGACAGGAGCTTTGCAATTACGAAGCTTGCAAATGCGAGATAGGCTTTGCAATTGCGAACCTGTTGCATGTCTGCTATCGTCGCAATTGCGAACAATTTATCGCAATTGCGAATGTTGACCCTCCCTGTTGAATTGCAAATGCGAAGGGATGTGCAAATGCGAACTAAGCTGGCCCAGCCTTGTGATCGCATTTGCGATAAAAGGCTCGCAATTGCCAAGCCTGTGAAGCTCGCAATTGCACAGCCTGATCTCGCAATTGCGAGATCAGAGGCCTGCAACTCTGCTGAAGCATACCAGCAAATTCCCTAAGTTCAAAATCACTCTGTGGCCTATCCAAAACTCACCCGAGCCCTCGAGGCTCCAAACCAAACATGCACACAAGTCTGAAAACATCATGCGGACTTGCTCGTGCGATCAAATTGCCAAAATCTTAAACAACAAATTTAACACCAAAACTCATGAAATTTGAAGATAGTTTAAAATTTCTAACTTTTCAACCAAAGGTCCGGATTACATCAAATCACCTTCGTTTTTCACCAAATTTCACAGACACGACTTAAATATTATATCAAACCTGTATCGGGCTCCAGAACCAAAATACGGGCCCGATACCAACGAGGTCATCACTATTTCCATTTCTAAAATCCTTATATTTTTCCAGCAAACAATTTTATTTAAAAATTTATTTCTCGGGCTAGGGACCTCGGAATTCGATTCCGTGCATACGCCCAAGTTTCATATTTTTCTACGGACCCTACGGGACCATTGGAATACGGGTCCGGATCTGTTTACCCAAACTGTTGACCGAAATCAACTAAAATTATATTTTTAAGCCAAAAATTATTATTTCTTAAATTTTTCACACAAAAGCTTTCCGGTATCGCACCCAGACTGCACATGCAAATCGAGGAGATAAAAGGAGGTTTGCAAGGTCTCGGAACACGGAAACGAATTCTAAAATAAAAGATGACTTTTTGGGTCATCACAACCTCAGCTGTGAAACATGTCTTGTGTGTACGTGTTATTAGAAAGTACAAATATATATTTACGAGATAAAATGGAAAAGACCAGCAACTTGATCAGGTTGGCCAAGAGGGCTAGGTCTATGATAATTGTTAGATAGCAAATTCTTATAGAGTAATAGGGGAGAGTTTAAGAGATATTGTACTAGCTTCTTTATGTTCCAAAGGTTGATTCCTTTAACTTTTTTTGATAATACGAAAATATTATATATAAAAACTAGAAATTGTTTGGTTTAATACAAGTTCTTGTAAATTCGCCACACATTGGTGGACCATCACCAGAGATATTCTGGTTTCCTATCGACCCGAGTCTATTACATGCCTTAATGTCTAATGACTTACTGTAATGATAAACTCCATTCGCATCCTTTGACATTTGTTGCATCACAAAAAAGGTGGACTTGCATGGAACTTTGGATTATCACTGCAGTACTGCTTGTATTCCTTCTTGGTTGCAACTTTTTCTAGTAAATGTGCCACTTGGTTCCCTTCACGAAAATTATGCCGAAGGAGTAGGTGCTTCTGTTGGAGCATCAATAATCTGCATGCATGAACAATGTTAGATAAAACAATATAGCCGTGGTAAATTGCTTTGATTGGTTCTGTAGAGTCTGTTTCCACTTCAAGTGGGAATAGTTTGAATTCTGTTGCTGTTTGAAGGCCTACATGGATTGCCTGCAGTTCAGCATGCACTACTGGAAAATAAACCTATGGCAACGCATAGAAAGCCGTTGCGATACATAATAAAACCGTTGCCATAGATCTATTGCAACGTTTTTGCGTCCGTCTAACTAGGTCGCGTTGCAGTAGCTCTACTGCAACGGTTACTGCAACGGTTTGGAAAACCGTTCCCTATATATGTCTATTGCAACGGTTATTTATCATTCTACTGCCACAAGTATTTTGAATCAACTAGAACGGTTCAAAGGCGTTGCAATATATATTTTGTGTAACGGTTATGTTTGCTATTGCAACGGTTAAGTTAGGATATTACAACGATTTTTTGCCGCTTTTGCAACGGTTTAATTACTATTGCTACAGGTTGTTTACAGTAACAACAATCTAATAGGTTCTAATGCAACGGTGTGTATTATCTATTGCAACGGTTTATAGTACCTATGGCAATGGTTTAGTTTACCTACTGCAACGGTTACCTGTCATATTGCAACCGTTTACATGGTTAATTGAGACAGTTTTTGTTACCTATAGCAACGGTTGAGGTAAGCTATTGTAACGGTTTAATTGAACTAACAATATACTCCCTGATAGTAAATAAATATTTACATTAAATTATAATACACAATAATTTATATAAATCACAAAATAAAACTAATCATGAACATTTACAATCCAAGTTGTAATATCCGTAAAAGCAAAATATTAGAACCCATGTACATAAGTTTAATAATCCAAAAGTTAAGAACCAAGTACATAAGTTTTACAATCCAAAAGTTAAAGAAGTTTCAAAATATTTGATAACAAAAGATTCCTAGAACATTTAGAGTTTCAGCAATAATCCAAAAATCTTCTTAAGGAGGATCTTCATTCCTTTGATCTTCCCTTTCTTCATTTTCTCCACCTAAAAAAGAGGATAAATAAAATCATTATCTCTTTAAATGCTAGTTAACAATTCAAATACAAATGAAAGGTCAAGACTTTTAAAGGATTTAAGAATACCAGACACAGGCAATGCCATTCAAAATTATATGTAACTTCCCACAGACCAAAGAATAAGGAAAATAATAATTTTCTTATAATAAAAAAGAGCTCAATCTAGGCACCGTTGCAAGCTAGGTATACTCAACAGCTCAACATCCTGTGTCCTTTTCTGACTCTGAAGTTACCTTTGCTTAAAGTTAAAATTCTCTTTCCTCAACTGCTATTTGATACCTTTAGTTCATAGCCTCATTTTCTTCCACATCAGTCATTCTACTGCTTGTCTGGATTTTGTATTGTTTTCAGAACATTCAAATTATGATCTTCCTATTTGCTTCTACTTTCTTTTATGTTAATAGGATTGATGTTGCATCTTTTCCGTTTAGCAAGATCTTTATTTTGCTTTGTACATGCAGATTCCTAAGAAAGGGAAGATTTATTCAGTGAATGAAGGAAATGCCAAGAACTGGGATGGTCCAACATCGAAGTATGTGTAATGAGTTTAATGATCTACATAAAATTAAGATTTATATATAACTTCCCACAGACCAAAGAATAAGGAAAATAATAATTTTCTTATAATGAAAAACAGCTCAATCTAGGCACCGTTGCAAGCTAGGTATACTCAACAGATGGGTAGCTCACTGTTTCCTTGTGTATCTTGTACTCCGTTAGTAACATGTTCAAAAAAATGATATAAATTCAGAATTTATTACTTTCTTTTAAACGTCTTTCAATTTCAAAACCAAATGTTCCACTCCTATGGCATCCTCCTCTGTCGAAATGTTGAATTTACATGAAAATACATTAACTTTCTATTGTTACCCATTCTAGTTTAGTTGACTAGGAAGTATACTTAGAAGGAGTAGAACCAATCAAATGGAGATAAGTTGCTTTCTCGCTCTGTTATGCATAGCAGACTAGCAGAGTTAGACTAAGATCTAAATGACCAATTCTAGCAAATGAATTCATCTACATATTGGAAAATCTTTCCACATAATCAAACAAAACAACTGATCTATAGCTGAAGTAGACGTGGCAGAAACAAATATGAGGATAAATAAAATAAAGTGACACCACTTGACACAAACAAGACATCTATATTCAACTTGGCTTTAACAATATCATCAAAGAAAGTCATGTTGAAGATAGGAAAGCATGAAATCAAAAAAGATGCATGAGTAGTCTGCCTCTGTGTGTTGTGAATGACAGAAGAGAATCAGAAAAGATGCATTGGTACCTCATTTTCTTTGTTGCTGCTTATGAGTGGCCCCAAGAACTGTCTGCAATGCATTGGATGTGGGTGGCCTGTTGTCTTCTTCTAAAGTCTGTACATGGCATGTTGGACTGGTGGCATTTCCAAGCAGATGTTGGTCTAATTACATATTTAGAGAGAAAATCAATTACTAGATATGGTTTCTACTACTTGAATTTGTCAACTAGTTCACATAAGCACATTGATATCCTCCATGTTTCAAGTAGTACATGACCAGAAAGGAATTAAGAAATAATTTCAGCACTCAAATGAATAAAGAAAAGAACATATTGCATGATGTCCAATAAAGCTAAAGTGCATAAAATGACAACCTGAAACAACACAATGTCCGAAATCAACAAGAAGCACCCCAGATAACTAATCAAATATCAGAAAGTTAAGACCTCATTGCCAAATAGATACTGAAACACGAACACATTAGACTCCCCTTACTGGATGCTGGAAAGTAGAGGAAATTTCAGTGTTAGCTCTGCTTGGGGTTATTTGAGAAGAAGAGAGGATCCTAGGAGGCTATTCAACTCAGTACCATGTTCAAGTCCTATGGGAGGAGAACATGGTAACAGCTCTTTTTACTAACAGTTTTTTCTTTTTTGCAGGTGATAATGATATGTCTTTGCCCTGTACTTTGATGAATCTCCATGTGGTGGTATTAGTGCTGTGCACTTAGTCCACAGGAAGGAAGTTAAGGCTGGGCAAAGACATGGAGGCAAGGACAAACTCACTGATGAATGCAACCAGAAATGCAGAGGCAAAGCAGGGCACTCTGCTGCCCAGTCATATAAGCAGCAGCAGCAGGAATAGGCTAGAGACAGCAGTAAAATTTGACATGGTGCCCAGAAATCATGCTACTGTAACAGGCAAGTCAGGAATCATGCTACTGTAACAGCGTGCTAAATGGAGCAGCATGGGAAATCGTCCAATTACAATATGCAGGTATAGTGATGAACTTTGGACAAAAGGAGGAACAACAGAAGCATCATTCACGTATGAAGGGGCAGTACAAGGAATTAGCAGCAAGACATAGCATGTTCGAGTACAATAGGCTAGTTTTTATCATGTTAATATGCATTTTAGTCAACTGTGAAAGAAGAAGAAGAAGATGAAGAAAGAGAATGACATCAATAATTTGTTAACGAAAGAAGAAGAAGAAGAAAGAGAAGAAGAGATGCAATATTTTGCAATAATTAAGTACACACCCTGATTAGTACTACCAGTAGATGGACGATTGATTAGTTGAACTGTAGCTTGTTGTGCAGAGGAAGCTTCTCCGAGTGAACGACCACCGAATGCTAGCATATTAGGATCAATTCGTAAATCTGGGTTAATATGCTGAAGTTGTGCAACAACATTAAGTGTAATTTGTTGCCGCCAAGTTTCCTGTTGTTCCTCGAAGTTTTTCTGCATCCTTTGTTGCATTCTCTCTTCCATTTCCTTCATTTTTTGCTCCATTATCTCATCAGTAGTCTTTGAAGAGGGTCCAGAATTTCCAGATTTTTGTTTCAAGATAGTCTTTGTAACCCCACGACCATACAACCTTACGCGACCTGGATGTTCAAGTCCCATGACTGTTGCAAATGGGTCAATTGATTGGTTATCATCTTCACTTTCTTGAGTTTGTATTTGCTCCATTTCAGCCTACAAATAAAATTTAAGAGAAGAAAATACGAGTAAATATAACTGAGTTAACAATTAGGACCAAAAAGATAATCTCGACAAGCTTTAAAGTAGAAATCTTTGTACAATTTTGCGCATTGTATCTTCATATGATTCCTTGTATACTCGACCGGCTTTTCTTGATCTCGTTGCCACAAACATGTCCTTACTTGATGGTTCCTCAGAAGTTTCCTTCTTTTTTTTCTAGTTACATGAAAGTCAGCATAAAAAATTTACCAAGTAAGGTTAAAAAGTTCATATTAATGAAAAATAAGAGAAAATACCGAACCTCGCGGATTGTGGCAAAACTTGTTTTGCCAGCAGTGTGTGGATTCTTTAACTTTTTTCGGTTCTCAGTATTAGTTTTCGAAGTTTGTTGCAACAAGTAAGCTTTTTTGTTAAACATCTAATACATTTCTGCCTATTGCATTTTGATAATCTAAAAAGTGTTGGACACGAAGACAAGACGAGGAATGAACTTCAAAAGAATTACTCATTCTCTTTGTCCAAAATCAAGTTTACTGTGTCTATAACTTACCTGAGCTTTATCAGACTTCCAGTATTCAAGAAGGTACTTAAACTCAGATTCTGAAACATATAAAGGCTTTTTTTTCCATTCGAAGTTCGTCATTGGCATAGGGGTCATAGTATTTTTTCTTCAACCAACACTTATACCTTCTCCAAGCATTTTGAATTGATTGAAAAACCCACTCTCTTCCATCATCATGAATGTCATATTTTGTCTACAGTTTGGTGTACTTGAGTTAGAGCAAAAATATGAAATATTATCAACTAACAATTGAAACAACGAAAACTTCAAACCTTGATATATGTCCACATATCCTCTTTTGTATTCAGTTTCTTCCAGTTATGTATATTCAGAGGACAAAAGGTTGAATTTCTTGCCAATGTACCGAGGAAACTTCCCAACTCTTTTACAATTTCGTCAGTAGGACCAATGGGTTGGTTCAAATCGCTTAGAACAACCAACTTGCGCTCACTCCTTCCATGTACACGTGGCATCTGTGTCCTTCCTCTTTTTCGTTTTACAGTGGAAGAGCCTGCAATAGTTACGAACAAGAGATAATTACCAAATCACTAATGCTTATTGAATTTATGATTGAAATCTATATATTCTTGCCTCGTTTTTCTGATTGTTCAATTACTTCATGAGTGGCAGAATGTTGCGACATTTGCGGCACTTGTTCCAATACTACTTGTGCTGCAGAAGATGTAGAATGGTGCGACACTTGCTGCACTTGTTCCAATACTACTTGTGCTGCAGAAGCTGTAGAACGTTGCGACACTTGCTGCACTTGTTCCAGTACTGCTTGTGCAGCAGAAGCTGTAGAGTGTAGTGTCGCTCGATGCACTTGTTCTTGCCCTTTTGTTGCTAAAGGAGAGCTAGAATCCAATGGTACTTGTTGTACTTGTTCTTGTACTTTTATCTGGTACATGAGAGGTAAGTGGCAATTGACGCACTGGTTTTTGCACTTGAGATCCTAACCTTGGATGCTTTGGTTGTCTATTTGAAAAGTTAGGTGGAACAACTCTTTTGGTTGTCAACAATGAAAACTTTTCTTTTGCCAACGATGAAAGTGATCCAGCTGGAAGATACTGTGAGTTTGTTTCTTTTTTGTTTTTCCTTGTAGTCACTTCTTGATTCATAGTCATCTCAAAACTGTCAAGTTAAGAAAAAAAAAAAGATTAGCGTAAGTATAAAAAAAAAACTAGCCAGAAAAAAAAAGCACGAAACAAATTGCAAGAAACAAAATTAAGCACACAAAGAACTAGGTTAAAACTTAATATGAACTAATATCAAGTTTACAAAACTTAGTACAGGACCATAAGACTGAAGCATGGAACTCATCGCTAATGTAGTGAAGCAAAGAAACATTTATAACATACTAATAAACCAGAATCTTTCTTAGAAGAATGCAAAGACATCTAAATATACACTTGTCGGCATAAACTTCATTCACTGAATATATTTCCTTCCTTAGGAATCTGAATGTAAGAAGTAATGTTATATCTTTTTCTAACTGGAAAGATGCAACATTGGTCCAAAAAATATCAATGCAAAGAAATAGCAAGGCATAATTGGAATAAGTCTATATCATCTTATGTTAGTCAAGCGAGCAAACCTTTATGATTCTTAACCACCAATTCAAGGAAATTGACTGTACTATAATTGAGCCAATTCATTTAACCATTTATGCTAAAGAAACAGATACCATAAATCTTCAAGCAAGATATACTCTTGCAGTAAAGAGGCACCCAAACCACAGTTGCAATTTTTTTGTTTTTGTAGTGTTATGCCAGCGGCGAAAGAAGCTTTCCAATCCCCCTTCCCGTCATTATTATTTCCAGAAGAGCATCAAGGAATCATCAAAGCACGACTCCTTAACACAAAGCATTTATATGACTGATAACACTGTAAGAGAAATCAAGCAATTCTAGAAAATAGAATGATTCCAAGGTTAAGGACCCCTACTCACACACAATGTAGAAAAGAGATTCTCCTTGCTTCATCATATATATCGGGCAGCCAAAGAATACCCTTACCTTACCAGCACAAAACTGTTTGTTATCCTAGATTGCATAGCAGCACTCCAGGTACAACGGAATACAAATGAAAGATGAACACAAAGACTGACAGGAGCGGAGAGCATCCTGAAAGCCAGAAGACAGTTTTACAAGTTGGGGGTGGGGGTTTCCTCTGCACTACAACAATTTCCCTAGAATAATCCAGGGGTGTCCAGTGTTTAGAATCAGCTTTAGCAAGGGGAATCTCAAGTTCCGTAGGCACAACTTCATTTAGTCAAAACAAAAAACCATTTTGACCGAAAAAGCACATCCAAATGAATGGGAAACAAGTGCCATTAGATGGAGCTGGAATCTATGCTGTAAAATGTTGGGTAAAGAGGACACTAAATGGGGGAAATTAGTTAAATCATGTAAATATTTCATCCATATATCCATTGTTCTTACCATGTATATATAAAAGATGGGATTGAATGAATGAACTGTTTATCTTATAGACAATAGAAGACAGTCGACAACAACAAAGAAATGCAGAAACTGGTGAAACTGGTGCAACAAATTGGTTCACATCTGTTAAAAAATATAACTCAAACTGTGCAGCAACTGCAAGTTTTGGCTAGAATATTATGCTGCCCAGATTTAATCTAGGCAGGTACTTTTGGCTAGTAATAACAGGAGCATGCGAGGTGATGGGAGTGTATACTCAACTGGAAATTAACATCTCATCCACGCAGGAAATACTCCAAATAAGATCAGGCAAAGAACCACATTGGAACTCATGTACATCTACCCTCAAAATTGACAGATGCACATATGTTCAAGAGATGATTTTCCAAAAAAAAAAAAATTAAGGACAAACAACGTTCTTATCGATTGGTTCTAACAAATCCAATCCAGTTGATAGGCAGATTGAACTCAATAAGCCACTCTACTTGTTCTTAAAGCATTTCCATCATCCACGTAAATTCCATCAGATTACCACATAGTAAGCCACAGAATTAACTGCATTTTAAACCAGTAGCACACAAAGAACTAGGTTAAAAATTAAATGAAAACTAATATCAAGTTTACACTAACTAGTGCAGGTTTTGCTGTCACAATACTGCAGTTTCAGCTCAATTTACTGCTCAAAACTATGCTTGCACAGTTGCAGATCTTCAATAACCAGCTGAATTCCAAAATTAAAGTACTCAAAAGAAACTGAAGCTGGAAACTAGTGCAACAGTGTCAAGGTTGCAAAACTTCACTGAAAATGCAGCAGTCTCACTCTCATATGTTCAGGAAAAAAACAAGCTAAATTCAGTCTACACTTACTCGACAATCTTCACTAGGTTTACAAGCTCGCAAAGAACTTTCAAAATTCAACATCAGACCAAAGCTGAACAACCCTTCAAAACAGAACTCAGCCAACTTCTCAACTGATTCTTCAAGTGCAGATTTTGTTCTTAGTATTGCAGATTTTCAGCTCAATGGTAACCTCAATCTTATCCAAAACTGATGCAAAACAAGTGTGAAACTAGTGCAAAACAGTAGTATTCCGCTTTGAATAGACAAGACGTAAGAGCAATCATTCTGAATAATCCTGATTTCATTTTCTTAATTTGATACATCTTCAGAAAAACTTCTGGATATTAGGGACTAAACCTTATAAAACTTAATTGAAGAGATTGGAAGAAAGAAACAAAACAGACAAAAGAATTGAAGGAAGTAATAACCAATATAAGTTACCTTCATAATAGCAGAAACCCATAAACGTCTGCCATTAGCATTGGTTCCAATAATAGTTTGAAAAGGTTGTGTCTTAAGCAGATAAAAGGGAAGAAAGATGATACAAATTGGTGCAAAAACTGAACAAATCAACAGCTACCAAACAGACCTTCAACTCACAAAATTGACATCTCCTTTATAGTTCAATGGTAGCAGCAAGCAATACAAGTTTTCAGTCCAAAATATTGATTTAAACCAAATAGCAATGGACACTAAATTCAGCAGCGATACAAGGAAGCAGTTCAATATCTCCGAAGAGGATAATCTTCAAAACAAGTATAAGATAATAAACATATGCCAAAGGAATTCAGGAAACAAAACCAAAACTTTTATCTTTTTCTTTTCTGAGTTTATGACTTAACAAATGAATATAATAACAATGTGTACCTTTTAATAGTTCCAAATCTGTTAACAGTGAAGTCGCAACTCTCCTCAAGGATACACTAGCTTTCTTCAAATTGGTTTTTGAAAATCCTGTAAAATGGATCACAATTCAGAATTCAATTCTACAAAAAACAAATAAAAATTAATTGCAAAAAGTATAAACAAGAATAATCATAAAATCCATGCTACATAGAAAAGTTATACTAGGTACATGCACAAAATGGCAATAATCTTATTTTAAAATAATCCAGCAGAAAATTTTGCAAAAAAGGACAAAGAAGGGAAAAGCAACTAGAGCTGAACTCTCACTTCTTCTTGGGGGGAGGGGGGGGGGTGGAAGAAAATTCAACATAACATGCAACTATAACAGAGAAAAAAAATCATGGGTACTGCAAAAAAATTGAATCTTGATTAAAAAAAACTAACTGAAACCAGCATAAAAGTGAACAAAAACGGATACCTTGGCTCAGTAAACAGAAACAGAGAATTTGTAGGGTTTTGGACTGGAAATTGAGGGAGGTTTTTCAAGATATATATATATATATAATAATTGGGTGTGCTGGGGCGGCTAAACTCTTTGATTACCATTTCTCTCATTTTCTTTGCTTATTTTTTGCTTTTATTCTCTTGAACTTTGGGGCTGAGTACTGAAGCAGATTGAGAGAAAAAGAATGGCTAATGTGGCACAGGGAACTAAAAGGTGCGGCACTATCCTTGAGATTAAGAGAAAAAGAATGGCTAAGAACCCTAATTGCACTATTTTATGTTGGAAATTTGGATGAGAGAGGAGACTGATTGGGAGTGAAAGTTGGAGATGAAATTGGGAGTGACAAAAGTGGAGAAAGAGGAACGATAGGTTTAGTATGATGTGGTTATGTGTTTTACATTCTTTTTTATTTTTTAACAAGAAATAAGAGTAAAAAATACTAATGAAAATATATATTGGCGGGTTTGGCGAAATAGAAGAGGGAAAATTAGGAGGGAAACCATAACCGTCCCCATAGGTAATTTTTCCCCAATATCATGCCAATAGATACAACTATTGCAACGTTTGTGACAACCGTTGCTATAGTACTATATATGGCAACGGTTCCTGAACAATGGCAACGGTTTGATTAGTATAGTGTATCGAAATCCTCCAGCACTTTTGGCAACGGTTAAGACCGTTGCGATACATGCTGTATGGCAACGGTTCTGTTCACGTTGCATAAATTTTCGTTGCCATAGGCCTTATTTCTAGTAGTGATGTAGTGGAGAAAGTGCACAATCCGCCTTTTGGTATCCCATTACCAAGTTACCCAAGTGGTTTCTGAACACACCCCCATGGCCGGATTTATTTCCACTAGTTTGGAAGGCTCCATCTGTATTGAGTTTGTACCAGTGTTGTTGTGAAGGGTGTTTATGTTGATATTTATTTTGTTATGGGTTGTAACTCCTGTGGAATTGAGGAAGTGGTATTCTGTCGCGAGGTTCTTAATATCATTAAGGCGAGGTTGCTATTGTGTGCTATTAATATTATTGCTATTTCTAGTAACCCAAATTCCCCATAGTACAAAAGGAAGTAGGTCAATCCATGATATATTGAGAAACTGATGGTTGTTGTTGAGGTCTTTTAAATTAAGAAGCCAATGACTGTCTGTATTGATTGTAAAATTGTTGATGCCCAGAGATCTCCATATGTTTGAAACAATTGGGCATTCGAGGAAGATATGACTGATTGTTTCTTCCTGATTTCGGCATATGGGGCATTGTGGATCGATATTTATCCCTATGTGATGGATATAGGATCGACAGGGAACCCTACTTTGGAGGCATTGCCAAGAAAATATTTGATCTTGTTAGGGCAATGTAATTTTCATATCAGTTGAAGTTGTGATCTCCTTGACTTTGCCAATTGTTTATTAGTTGATAGCAAGATTTAGTATTAAATATAACATTGTTATTCAAACTCCACAAAGGTTTATCAAAGTTGTTTAGAGGTTGTGGGATTAACTTTATGTTGTCCATAATAGAGGACGGAAGGTTGCAAGATATTTTTGTGAAGTTCCATTTTCCATTATCAACGAGGTCTTTTATTGCAAGATTTTATTCCTTCTTTTGAAGAGGCCCTTCTATACAGTTTCTTAATGATGGTAAAAGAGGGATCCAACGTGTGTCCCAAATGTTTAATTTAGAGTTTTTGCATGGAAGCCAAAGGATCCCTTTCCTACAAGCAAACAACCTTTGAGTATGTTTTTTCAAATAAAGGATGTGTTATTGGTTTTGTTGCTGCCATATTTTTGAATGAGCATGTTTTCCCACGGTATGGATGGATTTGCTAGGAGTCTCCATGTTAAACCACATGGTAAAACCCTATTCGTTGAATTTGCAGTCTTTAGGCCAAGGCCTCCCAAGTCTTTAGGCTTAGTAATGGTGTTCCAATTGATTAAATGATATTTTTTACGTTCATTAGTGGTGCCCCAGATGAAGTTTCTTTGTATTTGATCAATTTGCTTTTGAATTGTTGTAGGAGAAAAGTGTATTGCATAGCATAATTAGGAATGGAATTCAAAGTTGCTAGGGCAAGGGTGGTTCTTCCTTTTATATTAAGAAATTTTGTTTTCCCTGTGGAGAGCCTTTCCCGCATCTTGTCAAAGATGAATTGGTAATCAGACGCTTTAGGATATTTATTAAAGATTGAAAAGCCTAGGTATCTTCCAAAAGATTGGCTTATTTTGATATTGAAGCCACAACCTATTTCCTTGGCGGATTCCATAGGACAATTTTTGGAGAAGAGAATTTTTGATTTGTCTAGATTGATGTTTTGGCCGGATAGGTTACAAAGCGTATTGAGGTAGTTTTTAATGGTGTTGTAGTTTTTATTATCAGCCTTGGCCATTAGAGTAAGGTCATCTGTAAAGAGTAAATGGAAAATGCCTATATCTCGATTGTTTAAGCAGATAGGATCCCATAAGCATGTATCTACTTGATGAAGGATTAAACGTGAGAGCATTTCCATGCTCTTGATAAAGATATATGGTGAGAGTGGGCACCCTTGTCTAATACCTCTACTTGGGGTGAAGAACGTGGTTGTTACCCCGTTCACCAAAGAGCAATTTTGCTTGTACAAATACAATTCATGATGAGTCGCATTATCTTGTGAGGGAATTTAAAATTTGATAGAGTTTGGTAGATAAACGACCATTCCAATCTATTGAATGCTTTTTCTAGGTCAAGTTTCAAAATCATGTGAGCCTTTTTTCCTTTCATTTTCTTGAATTGGTAGATTATTTCTTGGATTATAATAGCGTTGTCACATGCTCGTCTCCCTTTAATAAAACTGGATTTGAAGGGTCTAATAATATGGTGTAAAAGAAGTTGTAGCCTATTTGCTATGATTTTTGTAATTATTTTGTAAACAGTATTACACATGCCTGTGGGCCTAAAGTTTTTTAGATTGTTAGCATTGGGCATCTTAGGGATTAGACAAATATAAGTGTTGTTAATTTCAGGAGGTAGAGTTTGAGATTGGAAGGCTTATGTGCAAAGGTCAATAACAGATTGACCTACTATGTCCCAATATTTTTGATAAAAAAAAAGAATGTATACCATCTGGTCCGGGTGAATTAAAAGGTTTGAAGGAAAAGATCGCTTTCACTACTTCATTAGAAGACAATTGTTTATATAGGGTTGTGAGATCAATGCTAGAGAAGGATTGTGGGTTGTTCCTAATTTCTAACCAATTTGATAAAGAATGGTCAGTTTTGAACATGTTTTGAGAGAAATCTAATGTGTGTTGAATAATTTGGGCCGGTTCATTAATCCAATTTCCTAAATTATCTTTGAAATAAGTAATTCTATTTTTTCTGAATTTGTTAATGGCTGCTATGTGAAAAAACTTAGTGTTTGCATCTCCTTCTTGAATCCAAGAAATTCTAGCCCTAAGTTTCCAATAGTCATCCTCTATTCTAAGGATGTCATTATAATCTTTTTAAAGTGTAGTTCTAGGTTATGGAGGAAGGTACTAGTGTAGTAATTTCTAGAAAACTGGATACCCTTGAGCCTAGCCAATATCCTCATTTTTTTCCTATAAGTGTCTCCAAAGTGCTTATTACTCCAATTTTTGACTCTGTTTAGGAAAGTGTTAGAGCCTTGAGCATAGTTGGAATTATGCCAGCTATCCTTTACTAAGTTAATAAAATCCGGATGACGACACCAAAAAGTTTCAAGTCTAAAAGGTTTTTTAGTGAAGCAATTTTCTTAGGGGTAGTTTCTATTAATAGGGGTTTCTGATCCGAATGTGTTTTAGGGAGATGAGTTACTGTAGCTTCTGGGAAAAAATTAATCCATTCTTCGTTTGCAAACACTCTATCAAGCCTTTCCATTATACGGCCTTTATTTTTTTTCCTATTGCTAGACCATGTAATTTTACACCCCTTGAAATGAAGGTCAATTAAGTTGCATGTGTTAATACAGTCCCAAAAAAGTTTAGATCTTCTGTTATTGATACATCTCCCTCCTATTTTTTCATTAGAGGCTAGAACATCGTTAAAATCACCTCCCATTAACCAAGGCCCTTTGATGGCAGTGGGCATATCTAAGATGTTATTCTACATTATATTCCTAAGCTTCCTATCAGTACTAGCATAGATAGAAGTAAATAACCAAGTTTTATGGAGAGAAATTACCTCAATAGTTGCACTTATCTCCTGGCTTCTACGCACAAAGCTATGAACATTTACTTTGGTGTGATCCCAAAGGATCACCATTCCTCCTGCTTGACCTTCCGTAGGGATTTCTATCATATCAGAGAATCCAAAAGGGTTGAGAAGAGGAATATGGCTATCCATCTTGGTCTTTAGGAGAGTGACCATGCTGGGGTGGTGAGTTTCAATCAAATCTCGGAAGCTTAGCCTGAAGTTGTCATTGTTTCCTCCTCTTATATTCCAAATTATGAAGGTTGTTGATCTATTCATGTTAAACGTTAGATTGTGAAGATCCCTATTTTCCCTCACCCTACGTGCATGGACTGGATTCTTCCTCTGAAAAGGAACTAATATCATAGCATGGTTCCCCATTGATGGGTCCGTTGGAGGCCTTATATCCATTGTGCACTTATAAAGTGCCATTGGACAGTAGAGAATCTACTTCTGCTCTTGCTCTATGGATAGAAATATTTTTACTTCGTTAAGGTTTGAATCCTCGACTAGATTTTGGGTAACTAATTTTACGGGGTCTACCACTTCCTCCATAGCGTGTTCCATTTGATTTGGATTTTGGTTTTGTGGAGCTTGCGGGGTTTGCATGTTTTGTGCAGTGGGTGCATTTGATGTTTGAGGATTGTTTGCATGTGCATTCCAAGGAGTGAAGACTGGATTGATGTTTGTTACAATCTCTGGAGTGAAGAATGGAAGATCCATTATCGGAGTTGCACTCTGTATTGGAACAAAGTGTTATGGAAGATTCCATTCCCCCCACATGGTGTGAGTGAGATTGGTAGTCAGATTTGGAGCAATTGGAGTTAGGACATTGTTTATCCACACTTGATTGATATAGTTGTTCATTGCTAAGCGAACACCCTCGGAGATGAGTTGTGCTAGGTAGTGTGTGTTTTGTAGGAATATTATGGTTTCCCTCCCCTCCAGCATGATATTGAATGAGATTGCATGTCCCATTAACCCCATCTCCACCCAGGACATTGGTTGATGGTTTTGCGGAAGTGGAGGTTGAATAAGAATCCTTCTTGGTTGCTGGTTCGGATTCTGGGATGGTAGGAATGTATTTTTTGCCATGTTTGGAGATGGATTGATTCTTTGTAATTGTATTAGAAGGTAACGTCTCCTCACAAAAATGGATATTCTTGGCACCTTCTCCTACTGGAGATGAATTTAT